TTTTTTTTTGTGTTTTTTTTTTTTTTTTTTTGTTTTTTTTTTTTTTTTTTTTTTTTGGTACCAGGGATTGAACTTGGGTCCTTGTTCTTGCAAGGCAGGCCACCAAAGCGCTGAGCTAAATCCCCAGCTCCCTATTTTGATAAATTTTAATATTTAAAATTATCATGAAATTCAATACTTTTACACCTAAGTGTGAGTTGGAAAGTCAATTTTCCACATCAACAGATCAGGAGGGAATCACCTTTTGTACATTTAATAATGCAATTCTTAATGCTAAAATGTTTTCTGGAAAGACACAGAAGAGTGTAGAGCCAGAACTCACTGAGGATGGGAGAATCCCAGGAAGTGGTCTCAGCACTGAAGTTTCAATGTATGGACTAAGTAAAATTATGTTCTGTTATCTGCTCTTTATCTCTTCTTGACATTGGGCTCCCTTGAATGAAAAGAAAACATACAAATATTCATGACTGTGTGTCTTCTAAGAAAACACTCACTCTGTCTCTGAGATGCTCCTGAGCACCCATCTCTCAGCAGAGCAGAAAACGTTCAAACAGCAAAATAGAGAGGAGAGGAGAGAGGTCCTCTTGCTGCTCAGGTGCTATGGAGCTGGAAAAGCTCAGAAACAGAAGCCTAGATGCTCTCTCACTAGATGGCGAAGCCCAGTGGCCATTTCTGTAGCTTCTGAGACATCGGTTTAACATACAGCACCGCATGAGACTTCCTGTCCCCATTACCTGTAATGAAAACTCCCTCTTCATTATCCCACCGTGTGCTGCTTAGCATGAGCTTTGAGTTGTTGAGTGCAATTTATCCTTCTTGTAAAAGCTTTGAAACTTTCCCTAGGAGACGCCAAACAATTTACTTGTTCCCCTTAAAGCCGGTGAGAATTCCATGAAATATCTGGAGGTTTTCCACTAATTGCCAGTGGCGGTGCATTTATTTAGTTATGTACTTATGTTGTTTTTTTTTTTTTTGCCATCTAGAAATCTCACTTATGAGCAGCTATGCAAAATAGTGCCATTACGAGCATCTATAAATTTTCATACTATCAATTTCATAGCAACACAGTATAGAGCTGTTGGAAACCTAATTACCCCAATGATAGAGGGATAGGGATTGATACACATGACTTATTATTCAGTGTTTGAAAGGTAAAATTCTGCTATAAGCAATAGTAAGGAAGAACCTGGAGAACTTTATGCCACATGAGGTAAAGCAGTAGCAAAACAAATACAGTAAATTCCCATTTATATAAGGCATCGAAAATACTTTATGTAATACAAAAAGGAAATGATGATTGCTGAAGGCAAGGGCTAAAAAGAAAGGAGCTACTAGTAAGTAAAGATAAAATTTCAATTATGCAAAAGAAATGAATTTGTGGTATATGGCAAAAACATTCTAGGTATATTCCACATTATAATATCTACTGCTCATTTGAAAACATTGAGTGCATACCTCATAGTAAGCATAATAATTTGTTAAACGACTGCAGTTCCAAAGCATACTGTGATGAAAGCTTGAATACTTAAACAATGAAAGTAGTCATGCCATGAAGATCCCCTTTAGTATACATAATTTACAAAAAAAAAAATCCAGAGTGCAAACATACCAAGAAATGAAAAATCAATTACCAGGGCGGATGGAATTCAGGAAGCAGGAGGAATTACCACTAGGGAACACAGTGTGGACAGAAATATCTTAGAATTAGATGCAGGTGGTGGTTACTCAATATTGAGAATGTAATGACTGCCAATCAATTATTCTCCTGAAAATAGTTAATTTTATAATATGTGTATTTTACATAAATGAATCAATTTTAAATAAGCACATGAAGTTTTCTGCACATATTTTTGGGGCTTTTTTGTGAAGTGTCTATTGTTTTTGCCTTGTATAATTTGTGTACATCACTGATAATCAGTTGAAACTAAAACTTGCAATAAAATGATTCCAAGATAGCTTTAAGTTGATAGAAGTTTAAATTTGCAGAACTCAAAATACTTCACTAATGAAAAATTACTTATTTTGCAGCATGGGAATCAACTAGTGGTGTCTTGTAAGCATTGCAATTTTAGTAATAAAACACTGCTCTACAATTACTTAAATTAAAATGTTTGCTTTTTTTAAAATTTAATTTAATTCTTAATAGCCTACGTCAGCATACACACTGTGGATGTTTGATACCTGTACAAGACTCATCTTAATACTTTTTGTGTTCCCTTCCCCTCTCCTGTCTCCTCGTCTATCCCTTGGTCCTCTTCCCATTTGCAAAAATTCTACGCTCACCTATTACCTTGTACATATATATTATTTTGCTCTTTAATTTATAAACATTACTGGTTTCCCATATAAAAAGAACCACACAGTATTTAAGTTGGTGTGTCTGATTTATTGCTTTTCATTGTGACTTCAGGTTGCACCCATTTTCCTACAAATGACTTCAATTCATCCCTCAGGCAGAGTAGTGCTCCATGGTATATAAACACCACACTGTCTTCACCAGCCTTCTGATGCTGGACCTATAGGCTCTTTCCAAGATTTAGCTGATACGGATGGTGCTGCTACAGACACGGGTGTGCAGGCTTCCCTGCGATATGATGTCTAACACTTTTGGTGAGATACCTGCTGGGAGAATGGGAAGTCCAGGTGAATTTGTACTTGTAGTTGTCTGAGGGAGGCCCACGGTGCTTGCACAGTGGCTGCACTTGGTAATTCCTGTGAGCGGTGGAGCAGGGACCCCCTTCTTTCACCAGCCCTTGTAACTCTGATTTCATGATGATCTCCATCCTTTGGGGAGTCAGTGACATCACTGCTGCTTTCGTTCGCATCTCTGCAGTGCCCAGCAATGCTGACCGTCCTCTCCTGTGTTGATGGACCCCTGGTACTGCTCGTGCTGAGAAGTGTCTATTCATTTCAGTGGCCCAGGTTTTCATCAGATCTTCTATTTTGAGAGGATCTAAAGATTTTGAGTTCTGTATATGTTCTCAGTCCTCAGTCAGAGATGAAGCTAGTGAGACATTTTTCAAATCAATACATTCTTTTCTTCAATTTTGGTGTTGATTCCTACACTGTACAAAACCTTTTTAATTTGAAAAAATGTTGTTGGTTGATGCTTGATTCTGATTATTGTGCCACTGTGTTTCTCTTTAGAAATCACTTGCCTGTGCCTATTGCTGAGAAGAATGCATATTTTGTAGTGTTAACATAGAAATATTGTCTGTTTTTTGAAAAATGTGCTTCAGCCATTATATTTGTATGATAATTCTTTGTCTAGTTAATCTGTCTACTTGTGAAATTGAGCTATGGATGACACCAACTCTGATTGTAATGGTGTTTATTTGATCTTTTATATCCGGGAGTATTAATAAAATTAGGCAAACCTATATTGAATGCATATGTATTTCAATTGTTTTTTCTTACAGGCAGAAAGTTTCCCTTACTAATATACAGTGTTCATCTTTGCCTGTTCTGATCAGTTTTTACTTGAAGTTTACTTTGTCTGAAAATAAAATAGCGGCTCTTGCTTGCTTTTGGTTCTCTAGGGCATGGAATAAGGGTTTGCATCCTTTATTATAACCTATTTTTTTTCTTTAAATTAGATGAAATTCTTCAGTGCAACAGACAGTTGGTTTCTGCTTTTTGGCCAACCCTTAAACCTGTGTTTTTTAATGGATGAGTTTGAGCCATTTTCGTTGTTGGTTGTGTCTGAAAGATATTGACTTATTTGTGTCTTTTCATTCTTCTCTGTTGCTGACTAAAGTCAAACATTGCGTATGCACAAAAAAGAAACCCATACACACTAGAAATCTCTTGTACTCATTGCAACTACACAAAACACATGAATCTCCATTTCTTTATTTATTACTCTTATTTAATTAAAATTACATCCAACCCTGCAGCCTTCTCTTACAGTCTTTAGGCTCTGTAAGTACTCAACATTGCTGTAACATTTTTAAAATAATGGTTAATACCATAATAAAAACCAATTAAAATATTAACTCAAGTGTTTTATGGCATTTCAAATGAAAGTAATATCAGCAGGGCCAATATTTTAATACATGGAAATCACATTTGTGCTTGTTATACACTACGGAGGAAAACAGAAGTGGGTGACATTTGCGCTTCTTGTTTTGTGAATTGTTCTAGAATTTTAAGAAAAAATATTGCATAGTTTTCTCAGTGATCTTTGCAGGGCACCTTTTACATCTTTGTTCCTCAAGCTGTAGATCAAGGGATTCAACATGGGGATGACCAGGGTGTAAAATATGGAAGCCACTTTGTCTGTGTCAAAGGAGTGACTGGACTTGGGCTGCGAATACATAAATATCAGGGTCCCGTAGAACACGGTGACCACAGTGAGGTGGGACCCACAGGTGGAGAAGGCCTTGTGCCTGCCCTCTGCAGATTTCATCCTGAGAATGGCTACAAAGATGAGCAGATAAGAAATTAGGATAACGAGAAGAGAGGAAATCAAGCTCACACTTGAAATTAACAAAATAATCATCTCAGTTTCGTGTGTATCTGAACAGGCCAATGATAACAGTGGGAGATTGTCACAGTAGAAATGACTGATCACATTGTATCTGCAGAAGGACAAAGTGAAAACCTTGGTGGTGACCAGAAGTGACACAAATGTGCAGTAGAGATAGGAAATCATCACTAGCACCCAACATATCTTTTGGGACATGATGACGGTGTAGAGGAGGGGGCGACAGATGGCCACATAGCGGTCATAGGACATGGCAGCCAGAATAAAAAGCTCACTACCAATAAACAGAAGAAATACAGCAAGCTGGGCAGCACAGCAATAGTAAGAGATTGTATTTGGATGTAAAACAAAATTTTCCAACATTTTGGGTCCCACGGCTGTGGAATAGCCAAGATCCACGAGAGCCAGGTGTCTGAGGAAAAAGTACATGGGAGTCTGCAGCCCGGGGTCCACCTGGGTGAGGATGATCATGCCCAGGTTGCCCAGCAGAGAGATCAGGTAGATGACGAGGAATAGGAGAAAGAGTGGAGCCTGCAGCTCAGGGCGATCTGTGACTCCCAGCAGGATGAACTCGGTCACCATGGTGAGGTTGTGCCCCTCCATCCAGGGCGATCTGCAGAACTGTTCTGTGTAGAAACATCAGAATTAAACAGTTATGTTCCATTCTTATCACCTGGACAGATACCTTCCCTGCAGGCAGTGAAGGTTTAATCTATTCAGTATTCCAATTTGCAACATTTCAAAATAACTCTCCCTTCCATGAGAAAGAATATTATTTACATCCAGAGGTACCTTGGTTGTCTTGCAAAGTGAGCTGATACTGGCATCTAATGGGTACAGGATGTTCAAACTCTTAAACTTGAAACTACAATCACTTTGAATTTAAATAATGTCTGCCTCAATAAGTTCTTTCTACAATTGAGAAATATAATAGGTGGATAGATTCACAGACATAGATGATAATATGTACAGAGATAACTGTACATATAACAGCTGTAAATATAGATGCTTAAAAACAGCAAATGGCTAACTAAATATGGATTGTACTAGTCTTTAATGTTTGTACTGTCATTTGCATAATAACAATCACTAATGACATCGAAGTGGTGAATTCTATAAAGTGACATTCACCGTAGTAATTATAAAATGAGTTGCCTTATGGAGATTCCTCAAAGGCCTAGATCCAGAAATTCCTTTAGACCTTCCTCTCAACATTGCAGAAATCTTCCTGAAGGAGTCAAAGTCATCATATTGGAGATCCTGCACACCCATTTCTATAGAAGCACAATTCATAGAAGCTAAATTCTGGTGGCAGCCTACACGTTGGAAATGGAATAGGTAAAGAAAATATGGAATTTCATGTGTCTCTAACCTACTGTGAAGAAAGGTGAACTGGACGCTCCCTTGGGAAATGGTGATCAAGGTGAGCCCCAGTGACTGAAACGTAAGTGTCCACCATGTAAACATCGCATGTTCTCTTACCTGAGAAATCAACTTGTAGATAAAGAGCAAAAGTGAGGGAGATAGTAGGAAGATCGATCTCCTGAAACGGGAAGGCGATCAAGGGATACAGGGAATGGGAGGAAAGGAAGGAAAGTGGATGTGAAAAGGAAGGAAAATGTGTTCTGTACAATAACAACTCTATGAAAAAATGGAAACATGATGCATTGTGAACATGTACTAAAAATAAAATGAAATGGATACATTAAATAAGACATTTAATAGTAATTTCAAAACAATATACAATTACACACTGTGCCACTTTTCTGTCTTTCATTTTTTTTCTTTTTGGTACTAGGGATTAAATTCGGGTCTGTGCTTGCGAGGCAGGCAGCAGAACCACTGAGCTAAATCCCCTGGCTTCTGTCTTTTAAATCTATTTTAGTATAGGTAGGAAAAGTTAACTTCATATACATTTTCTGATGTCTTAATAGACCCTGGGTATATTTTAATCACAGCTAAAATAAACTTTTGGATGAAGCTGACCAGATAGGAGCTACATGAGCAAATCTTAGTACATTAGTAAGTTATTAGAATTGTTGAATACAAAGCAAAATGTCCCTCAGGATAAAAGGGGAGCACATGCTGAAGAAAAACGTTGTGATACAATCATAGTACATATTAAAGGCTCTCATTGTGTGCAGATTTCACTATGTTACCAAGTTGGTAGAGACAAAATAAAACACGACAAAGCTGAGGAATACATGGACTCCGTATGCGATTTGAGATGCTTCTTTGAATCACATCCACAAGGAACAATAATGTTTCTATAAAAACTTGAGTTTTTCATGCTCCTGAAACTCAATGATTGTATCATTTCATGGTGAGATGGAAAAGTCCATTTCCTCCTTAAAGGATCAGGGATGAATCCTATTTTGTGCATTTAGTTTTGTAGTTATTAAATGTTAAAATATTTCCCCAAGTCACAATAGTGCATAGAGCCTGAATTAGATCCCATTGACCCGTTGAATCACTTAAGTTTCAGAATGTCGCGTTAAACAAGATTGTGTTCTATTTTCATACATTTTCTCTTCCCAATTGGCCTTATATAAGTATGAAATTATATGTATATATTTATATGATTACATTATACTAGCTAAATGATGAAATATGTAACACACATTTTTGGATTTTCTAGGAGAACACCCACTCTGTCTCTGAGATGCTCCTGTGAGCTCACCTCTCAGCAGAGGAGAAAACGTTCAAACAGCAAAATCGAGAGAACAGCAGAAAGGTCCTCTTGCTGCTCAGGTTCTATGGAGCTGGAAAAGCACAGAAACAGAATCCTAGACGCTCTCTCACTAGATGGCAAAGCCCAGTAAAACGTGGCTGTAGTTTGAGACATTGGTTCAACCTACAGCACCGCATGAGGCCGCCTGTCTCTGTTACCTGTAATGAAAACTCCCTCTCAATTCTCCCACTCCTGTGCTGCTTAACATGGGCTTTGAGGATTTGGGGGCAATTTCTCTCCTTCTTGTAAAATCCTTGAAACTCTCCCTGAGGAGGCGCCAAGCAATTTCCTGGTTGCCCTGAAAGCCGCTGAGGATTTCATGAAATATCTGGAGGTTTTCCACTAATTGCCAATGGCTATGCAGCTGTTTAGTTGTGTGCGTATGTTTGGATCACCGTCCAGAAATCTCAGAAAGTATTTAAAGTACTGTCATTAAGAGCTCCAATAAATTTTCATACTCTCATGTTTATAGGAACACAATATATAGTTGATGGAAAACCTAATTACCCACTGATAGAGGAATAGTAATTGATGCAAACAACTTATTATTCAGTGTTTAAAAAGTGAGATTTTGCAATATGCAATAGCAAGTATGAACCTAGAGATCACTACGCTACATGAGACAAACCAGTATCAAAACAAATTCAGTAAAATCCCATTTATATAAAGCATCACAATAATTTTATATAATATGAAAAGGAAATGATAGTAGCTGCAGGCAAGGCCTGATAAGAAAGCAGGAGCTACTAATAAATAAAGATAAAACTTAAATTATGCAAAATAAATGAACTTGTGATATAAGGCATAAAACATTCTACTTCTATTGTAGAATATACATATCTACTGTTTATTTGAAAATGTTGAGTGCATACCTAATAGTGAGTATAATAAGTTGTTAAAGGACTGAATTTCCAATATACACTGTGAAGAAAACTTGAATATTTATAAATTTAAATACCATACACATCATACAATGAAGATCCTCCTTAGTGTAAAAAAATTACTAAAAATTTCCACAATGCAAACATACTAAGAGATGAAAAATAGAATACCAGGGGCTGAAGAAATTCGGGAAGTAGAAGGAATTTCAACTTGTGTACATGGTGAGGATAGAAATGTATTAGAATTAGAAACAAATAGAGATTACTCAATATTGGGAATGTAATGACTGCCACTAAGTTATCCTTCTTAAAATAGTTAAGTTTATGAGGTACATTTCATCTGAATGAATGAATTTTTTAGAAACATATGTAGTTTCACCCATACATTTTTTCTAGTCCTTCTAGTGAAGTAACCATTAGAAATGGCCCATATAACTTGTATGCACCGCTGATAATAAATTGAATCTACAATATACAAAAATAAAATGATTCTGTCTATGATAGCATTAAATTGATAAGAGTTTAAATTGGCATGACTCAAAATAGTTCACTAATGCAAAGTTACTCTTTTTAAAACCATGGTAATCAACTAATGGTTTCTTAAAAACATTACAAATTTAGAAATAATAACACTGTTATATATTTATTTCAAGTGAAATGTGCTCTTTTTTTTTCAAATTTTTGAGTCCATGTAAATATACACGGGGGCTATTTTCACTGAGGATCTTTGATACCTGTACAAGAATCATCTTAATACTTCCTATCTTCCCTTTCCCTCTCCTGTCTCCTCACCTTTCTCTTGGTCCTCTTCCTGTGTGCAAAAGATCCACCCCATCTTCTACCTTTTATCTACAATTTTGCTCTTTAATTTATACTCACTTAGTTTCCCATATAAAAAGAACCACATGGTATTTGAGTTTGTGTGTCTGATTTATTTCTCTTTTATTGTGATTTCAAATTGCACCCATTTTCCTAAAAATGATTTCCAATCATCCCTCAGGCAGAGTAGAACTCCATGGTGTATAAACACCACACTGTCTTAACCCAGCCTGCCCATGCCGAATCTACAGGCAGTTTCCAAGATTTAGCTGTTACAGATGGTGCTGCTACAGACACGGGTGTGCAGGCTACACTGTGATATGATGTCTAACACTTTTGGTGAGATACCTGCTGGAAAAATGGGGAGCTGAGGTGAATTTGTACTTCTAGCTGTCTGAGGGAGGCCCGCAGTGGTTGCACAGCGGCTGCACTTGGTAACTCTCCTGTGAGCGGTGGAGCAGGGACCCGCTTCCTTCACAGCCTCCCCAGCCCTCGTAACTCTGATTTCTTGATGATCTCCATCCCTAGGGGATTCAGTGACATCGCTGCTGCTTTCGTTCGCATCTCTGCAGTGCCCAGCAATGCTGACCGTCCTCTCCTGGTTGATGGACCCCTGGTTCTACTGCTCCTGCTGAGAAGTGTCTATTCATTTCAGTGGCCCAGGTTTTGATTTATTCTGAGAGAGTTTGAAGAGTTTGATTTCAATATATGTTCACAGTCCTTGGTCAGAGATGAAGCTGTGAAAATAGTTTCCAAATCTATATGTTCTTTTGTTGAATTTTGAGGTTGCTTTTTTCTGTATACAGATCTTTCAAATTTGATCAAGCTCTATTTCTCGATTCTTTAATTTGTTGTGCTGTTGTGCTTCTCTTAGAAATCACTTGCTTATGTCTATTGCTGAGAAGAATGTGAATTCTGTAGTGTTAAAGTAGAATTATTAAGTTGAGTTTTGAAATATGTGCTTTAGCCCTGATTTTTGTTTGATAAGTTTTTGTCTAATTAATCTGTCTACTTGTGAAATTGGGATATGGATGTCACCCACTATGATTGCATTGGTGTTTATTTTATCTTTTATGTCCAGTAGTATTTATTTTATTAAGTTAGGTGTATCAGTATTTACTGTGTGTGTGTGTTTGTGCGTGTGTGTATGTTGCTTTTTCTTTTGGCTCAAT